GCTCTCCATTTTTTGCATTCAAAATGGGTGTATGTATCTGAATTGTATAATTTTGCGGCAAAAGTATAACCATGCTCGGCCCTCAAGTTAACTCTTTTTACCTCCATAGTTTCCATATACTGAAACCAACCTTATCCAAGACATACATTCTTGCATGGCAGGGGATACGCTAGTAGAATAGTAAAAAATTAAAATTATAAGTTGAAGCAAAAGAAGCAGAAGTCATGCTTAATTACTAAAAAAGACTTGTCGTTGTGACTTATGTATCCACTTCGAAGGTGCCATCCAGCTTGATGCTGAAGCGCCTACCACCAACTAGGTGAGGCCCGTCGCACAGGCCGCGCTCGTCTTTGCAGTATTCGCGCATACTGAATTCCTTTTCGTCGTCAGACATTTCCTATGTTCATAATTGAAACATTAATTAAAAATCGATCAAAGGCAACTAACAGGAAATTCAACACACAGATCACTATTACTCAATATGCAATGGGTTGACTTTAGGTCTGTCGAGTCTTCCTTCTAAACTCTCATCTCACGTATATGGTGGGCACTCCCTCTCTCATATTGCAATCGTCGGTGATGGTCGCTACTCCTCCTTTCCCTAGTGCATTACAAATATCTAGCACAAGGAAAAGAAGGAGTAGCGACCCCCATGACAACAGTCGGCATTCTTCTTCTCTCATATATGGTGGACACTCCCTCACCGATTTTTCGACCGTCGATGATGGTCGCTACTCCTTCTTCCCCTAGTGCATAACAAAGGTTTAGCATAAAAAGAAGAAGGAGAAGCGACCCCCACGACAACAGTTGGCATTCTTCTTCTCTCATATATGGTGGAGACTCTCCCTCGCCGGTTTTTTGACTGTCATGTATGGAGCCCCGACAAACTTAAAGTCAACTCGAAATGTCGTTTAATTATCTTTCTAGAAAATCCAGTGCACTCGATATTTCCTACATATTCTAGCACAAGTCATGCTTAAATTCACGGAAAAATTCGGCATGACCTTTGCTAAAATAGGACATATCGAGCTCCTGAAATTTGCCGGAACAGAAATGAATCAACACTCCAGCAAAACATAGGCCATTGTGAGGTGTGCCCTGCAAACATAGGCCACTTGGGCAAGCACTATTACTACACAGAACACTACATATCACATGTCTAAATCTCCATCATATTCCATGAAAATTATCACAACTGCTCATGTAGCTACTACTCTACTACAACTATCAAAACATCTACATCATCATCGACATGGGGATTTGGCTGGTCTCACCTCGAGGTCGGAGGTGGTCGGTGACGGGGATGATGCAGGGGTTCCTTGATTTATGCAAAAAAAATATAAACAAAAACATTATTATCCTCATCTTAGGACTTAGTGAAAACTCTAAATCAAAATATACCTACATTTACTAAAAATTTCCTATTCTATTCAAAAGACCTACATTTACTTATTCTTTTCAATTTCATATATTTTATTCTATTCAAATTTTCTTAAAATTTCCTATTCTATTCAAAATACCTACATTTACTTATTATTTTCAATTTCATATTTTATTCTATTCAAATTACTTATTCAAATTTTCTTAAAATTTCCTATTCTATTCAAAATACCTACATTTACTTATTCTTTTCAATTTCATATTTTATTCTATTCAAATTACTTATTCAAATTTGAGGGGAAGGAGGAGAGAGCAGGAGGGGGAGGAGGAGGGAGGAGGAGGAGGGGGCCGCCGGCGGAGAGGGAGGATGCCGACGACGGAGGAGGAGGGACGGAGGGAGGACGACGGCGGCCCCGACGACGGAGGCGACAGAGGCAATGAGAGAGTGTGAGGAGGAGGGGGAGGGGGAGGGAGGGACCTTTGGGGGGAGGAGGATGGCGACGACGGAGAAGGACGGCAACGACGAAGGAGGACGACGACAACGGTGACAGAGGCGATAGAGGTGATGAGAGAGTGTGAGGGGGAGAGTGAGAGGACGAGCGGGGACCGGTTTGGATAAAGGCCCTTAGTGGTAGTGCTTGTCTGTAAAATTCAAAAATACATTGGTCACCAATGATCTTTTTGTCTAGAATCTAAATTGTCAATAGGAATCTTCACCGGTTCTTATTGCAGCCACAGATCCTACACATAGAGTTCAGTGAAGACCAAGTGGTTGTGATGGTTTGAGAAGCACCATATTGAAGGTGGTAAAAATTCTATTCGAGGAGCGAGGTGGGACTAAACTTTGGTCTTACTAGGAGGAGACTGGATTTATCAGTAGCGCTGGTTAGGGTAAAAGCGCTATCGCTAAGATCTATTGTAGTAGCGCTTTCTACGAATGAGCGCCACTAGTATCCTAGCATGCCTGGAACGGTCTATCAGTTTTAGTGTAGCGCGTTTTCCAGATTTAGCGCTACTTCTATGCTCATTTTAGCAGCGCTTGTGCTGCCCCAGCGCTACTGCTATTTAGCAGCAGCATTTCCTTTGTAAAAGCGCTACTGATGAACTCCTGTGGATAAGCGTTTCCCTAGTAATGGTCACACTGAGAGAGCTTGGTCAATGAAGCATGCCATCTTCAGCGGGTCTGTAACATGCTCCACCATCAAGGTGGTGACTTTCACATTGTTGATTGCTTCAGTAAGCATATGAATCAACTTGTGTCATGCCATCTTTGTGTGATCTTCAATCATCCACAGTCACCACTCTCTCCCCAGTAACCCTCTCTGGACTATGCATGGTTGATAGGGCTATCGGGGGATTGTGACTTGGAGAGAGAGACACAACAAGAAACGTTGGGCTTCTGCGGGCCTTGTGGCCTTAAGAGACAACTATTAAACCGTAAGTTCAGCTTGGGACGTCGAACGAATTTTGTGCCTATGACTGACAAAAAAAATTGTCTTAAAAAATTTCTATGCAACATGGTAAGAGTGAGCAAGAAAATCGCAAGTTTCAGTTGAAAAATCATAAGTTCCAACGATTGAAACTTAAAACTTATTGTGTCCTCGTGCGACATCCAAGTACTTCGCGAATCGCGAGGCAAACAAGCGGCATGGAGCGCTTGGCAGGTGCGTGCCCTGGCACCTGCATGACCATACGAATATCCGATTGAGATGAGACTTGCCTAGGTGTAATAAAGGTCGTTGCTTCTTTCACATGCCTAAGATTAAATCAATATATTTTTAAGTACATAGAGGTAGACACTCACATACACTCACCCATATAAAAGTGTGCATACACACACTTTACCCTTATAAGCGCCTTCGAGATACCAAGCCAACACAACATCTTAAGACTAAGGAGGTCACCATAGATGCCTTTGTAGTTGACGGAAATATCTTCTCCCATTAAATGAACGTTGTCAGAAAACCTGAAATAAATATTTAAAATGCAAGCACCAATATCAAGTCTAGAACTTGAATTCTGGTCGGTTGGTTCTACCACAAGGAATCTAACCATCTAAGTTACTCTCAGTTCGCGAAGAAACATGCTATTGAATGTATTGTTTCTAGGTGTAGAGTTTAGCCTTCTCTTTCCTCTTTTTATAATTTGCAATCAATAAAACAAATAATGAGCTGCTAGTGGAGCCCTCAACAGTAAGACACTTGGTTGAGGGTGAAAAAAGGCAGTGATCCTCGAGGTAGGGCATCGACGGTCGACATCGCCATCAAAATAAATAGGAGAAAAATTCGAAGAGCCCATGTCATAGATCCTGTAACGGTGAGAGGTGGAGGACGAAGTGGACAAGGCTTGTTAACATACATGGCGTCCGCGATTGAGACGCAACACAGCCGCCACTTCTTCTTAAAGAAAGAAAAGAAGCTTAGGGTCCATGTGCCTTCCACTGGCACTGCCGGTCCACCTTGTCTCCGGTGGCCCTAGGGCCATGGAGGCGTGGTGGACCCTGGGCCTTGCTAGCGGGATGGATCTTGCTCCATTTCTTGGTATTTTTTGAGTTTCTCTAGGGTGTGTCCTATTCAGGAAGACGAGACGACGACGACGGCTCCTGAAGATGAAATAACGTTCTCCCCATCTAGCCTCCGTTTTCGGTGATGCGTGTAGCATTGTCGGAGGGCGTGTGGAGGTGTGGCGCCGGCGGATCTTGCGGGATTCGGTTAGTGTTCGTCTTCAGTGGATCTGTTTGGATTCAGTCTTTGTTTGTCTTCATTTATGTGTCTATAAGTTGGATCATTTCGACCTACATGTTGGATTCAGTGACAGTTGTTATTCTAGTGTGCTGGTTGTATGTGGTCTTAACATGATGACTTCCCAACTGTCTACCACAATAAATTTGACCAGACTCTGATGAGGGATGCGCGATGACGGTGGCGCGCCTCCGATTCACACCGGTGCTTGTAGCTGTTGCTTGATGGTCTACGGATATGGATATTATCTTTTTTATTTCTGTGTTCTTTATACTGTCATGACATGTCATGATAAATCCCCGCAAAAAAAAAGATATGTCATGATAAATAGATCGAAAGTCATCTTGGAAATAAAAACAAAATGTCAAGGTCATACTACAACACAAGGCCCCGTTTAATCAAACTTGCATAAATTTCGGCCATACCTAGAGAGGGCGAACTTGGGCGAAATCGCGACGTTCCTTCCAAACAAAACGGTGCTGCCTAATTCGCACCGTTTGACCTGCGAAAAAGCGTAGCGTGGCACAGCACCCAACACAACCCCACCCAGCAAAGGCACACGAAACACACTCATCTCCAACCCCGCCACCGGTGGGCCACATGTCCCCCGCCCCACCCATCCGGACCCACCGCTCAGCGAACAGATAACTGCTCCCCGGCCTTTTACTCCACTGTAGCACGGCATGATTAGGAATCCGCAGACGTAATTACGGGGAAAGGCTTTCCCCTAACCAAAAGTCTAAACCCCAGGCGGAGGCTACTAGTGGGAATACTACTGCTGGTCTGACCAATCGCAGCACGAGAGCTGCGCGGGTGTCCGAAGCGGATCGCTCCCCGCCGCGCCGGACCGGCGAGATCCAGCCCCCGCCGGCCGATCCCATGGCTCCCGCGGCGGCGCGGGTCCTCCTCCTCGTCCTCGCCGTCGCCTCCTCCCTCGCGGGGCGCGCGGGCGCGCTCCGGTCGCTGGGCGTCGGGGACGGGGCCGGGGCCGGGGCCGCCGCGCAGGGGGACTACGCCGTGGACCTCAACGCCACCAGCTTCGACGCCTTCCTCACCGCCTCGCGGGAGCAGTTCGCCGTCGTCGAGTTCTTCGCCCACTGGTCAGTCGCTCCCCGGCTTGATTCGCGTCATTTTTTATTCGATACGGAAAGTTTCTTCGATTCGATTTGATCTGGAATCGCCAGATGGATACGAATCGAGGATTCGGGATAGCCCGAGGTGTGGCGCGTGGTTTCAGGCCGTTGTCGATCTGCCAGTCGCAAATCGGAAATGATTAGTTCGCCTCTGATGATTTCGTCGTGTTATGTCTGAAATCGCCACTGGCTGGAACATGATGGTTCTGTTAACTCATGCTAGGAACCCACAACACTATGTTGTGTTTCATTCTAGAATCTGTGCTCTGGAGATGTCCCCTCCCCTTCCAAGCTTATTTTGGCTTGACTTGTTAGGCTATTGGTATTCAACTATTAATCATTATGCCTAGCTACTTAATAGGCATGGCCACACGGGTGATCTCACTGCCTCTCAGTTAGGGAATTTTCACTGATAGAACATCTCTTTTTGTCCCTAGTAAATTGCTGCTTGCCAAATTTGAATTCATCTTACATACCATACTCTCCACTAATTTTACCATTGACCATGCAAAACTTGAGGGATTGACTGGCTTGCCTCTGTGCAAACATACTCTTAACACCCTGTTGGCACTCCATTTCATTCCTGCTTAATGTCATTTGTTTCCGGCTTGTTTTATTTCTGCTTACTAAAATGCCCATCATGCTTGTGCAGGTGTCCAGCTTGCAGAAACTACAAGGTATTGAGCCTATGGTTGTAGAGTGTATCATATATTCATATGATCTGAAAAGCCGCTCTTGCTGAGCTTGATTTCTTCCTTACCTGCAGCCCCATTATGAGAAGGTTGCGAAACTTTTCAATGGTCCAGATGCTGCACATCCTGGGAGAATACTGATGGCTAGGGTTGATTGTGCATCAAAGGTACAGTACTTCTCGCAAAGGCTGATAATCTTCATCAGTTTGCTCAAGCTAAACAACTAATAATAAGAAGCTTAAAAGGCGTTATTATGCAGTTCTGTTACTGCATGGCAAAATAACGTAGAGAAGTATTGATGTGCATCTTCAGTTTATAGTTCTCCTGTTTGTTATTGCCAACCTGAAGGCTAGAAATACAGGAGGTTCTTCTAATGTGAAATTTTTTGTCTCTTATTTAATTTAATTCTCATTCTGTCAGAAACCCAATATACTGAATTGTACTGCTAACTTACTAGTCCCTCGAGCAGTGGTGTGCATTGGCATGCAGTGATGTTTTATTTCTTTTGAATGTTGGCAGCACAGGTGAACGTAGATCTTTGCAGTAGATTTTCTGTTGACCATTATCCTTTCCTACTTTGGGGACCCCCACCAAAATTTGCTAACACTAAGTGGGACCGGAAGCAAGAGAAAAGCGACATAAAATTGATTGATGATGGAAGAACAGCAGAGCGTTTACTTAAGTGGATAAATAAGCAACTGGAAAGGCAAGTTTTTCTCCCAACTATTTCACTATTGTTAAAAGTTCGGTTGATATGTCATCTACCGAACTATTAAATTTTGTGCACCTATTTTTGTTACTTCTGTTTCTTAACTAAGTACATATGTGTGTGTATTTGGGCTTAACATCTTATTCTGTTGCTTAGATGCTTCTATCTTTTCGTCAATTTCTACCATTACAGGCATGATGGATTTATTAACATACCCTCTATGCTATGTGCAGCTCGTTCACTTTGGATGACAAAAAATATGAGAATGAAAATGTGCTTCCAAACAATGCTTCAGATCCTAAGCAGGTACAGCTGCATAATTTATTTGTTGAGCCAAATTGCATAAAATCTTATTTCATGCACTAGCAAGCAGTTTATTGAGTCCTTCAGAACCTTCGTTGATGTACTCAATCTGTTGTATTAGGTTGTTCAAGCAATTTACGATGTTGAGGAAGCAACAGCTCATGCGTTACAGATAATTTTGGAGCACAAGGTTCTAGTTTAATTATTAAAATTCGCAAATGACATGCTAGTTGCTGCTCTTTTTCTGACTACTGCTACTGTTACTTGCAAACTGTAGATGATCAAAGCAGACACTCGTGACTCTCTGATAAGGTTTTTACAAATTTTGGTGGCTCATCATCCATCCAAGAGGTATGAGGGTGCTCTTTTGAATTTGTAGTGATGAAGTATAGTTATTCTGCATTGTTCATTTTGTAAATGTTTTTGTTGATCATAGGTGTCGAAGAGGATCTGCTGAGCTGCTTATTAACTTTGATGATCACTGGCCTTCAAACCTCTCTTTAAGTTCACAAGACAGTTCTAAATTGTTGGAAAGTGTTGCAGCAGATAACCACAAGATCTGTGGAAAGGAGGTGCCTCGCGGTTACTGGGTATGTCCTCTTTCTTATGCTTAGCCTGATGCCAATTTCTTTTCTATGTGTTCTCTTAAATTGGGATCTTGTTGATATCCCACGCACACATGATCTGAACTAGTGATTTGCTTTATTTAGGTATAGATTGTTCAGTCCTGATTTACTCTAGCCTAATATCTGACACATTTTGTCAGCAGACCATACTTTGCTTTCGGCATGTGATTCCTTCCTTGTAGAGCCAATTTTTATTTCCCATAGTTGTTTAACTAAAAGGATACAAAGAATGTATTGTGTATGTGTTTTTCATTTTTTTTAGTTCAGATTTGCTCTTCTTATTTTGGTTTTTGCTGCAGATGTTCTGTCGTGGAAGTAAAAGTGAAACAAGAGGATTTAGGTGACGTCTGCTCTCTGTATAATTTTCATTTGGTGCAATTTTATTTTTTTGGTATTATGCGGACTCTTTTATGTACATTTTTTTAATTAAAGTAGGCTGTCGGACAGGCAGATGAAAAATGTTGTTATTGACAACTTAATATCTCATGAACTTAATCAGCTGTGGTCTATGGGTTTTGCTGCATTCACTTACTGTCCAAATTGGGGACGGAGAAAGCCAATCAACCTTTACATCAATATGTGATTTCATACACAATTTCTTCATCTGTGAGGAATGCCGCAAACACTTCTATGATATGTGCTCAAGGTTTGCAAAACAAACTTTGTGTTACATTGTTATTTTAAAAACAAAAAATCTACTACATGCCTGACTGTGGCCTTTGCTTGTAGTGTGTCAGTTCCCTTCAAGTCAGCCCGTGATCTCAGCCTCTGGCTATGGAGCACGCATAACAAAGTTAATGAGAGGTTGATGAAAGAAGAAAAGGATATGGGGACTGGCGATCCATCATTTCCTAAGGCTGTCTGGCCTCCAAAGGCACGCTGCCCATCTTGCTATCGTTCTTCAAGCAGGACGAGTGACGGGGCCTTGCAGGTTGACTGGAATGAGGATGAAGTGTTTACATTCTTGGTTAACTACTATGGGAAGACGCTCATATCATCCTATAAAGAAACCTACATGGAGTCTCTTCAAGGGAGGATGCAAGTAGGGGCGGCACTTCCTGACGATGCCTCCTCCTCACATGCTGCAAGAGTCCCGATTGGAGCTGCCCTGGGTGTTGCAGTTGCCAGCTGTACATTTGGGGCACTAGCTTGCTTCTGGAGAACCCAGCAGAAGAACAGAAAGTACTCGTACCGTTTACACTCTTTAAAGAAAATATGATTAGACCATTTTAGGTTGGTAGGATATCATTCATTGCTGTGTGCGTATACGGAATTCAAATCATAGAGAAGTGATTAGGTTCTACTTGTCGATTTTACAGGCAAAGAAAGAACTGGAACTGAAAAACAGCCCACCGGTTGCTCACCGTGCACTTCATCAGAGGTGGCCTCCGTGAATGTATATTTCTTGGATGGGTTAAAAATCTTGGTAAGTAGCTCACAGATGAAAATCCAGTGTTAGAGCTGTCATTTACAGATGAAAAACTTAGAGAAGCATGATGACCTAACTTGCACCTTGTTATAGGCTCAAAATGTAGTTCTGTTTTTACCATATAGTTGTGATCTGATTGCTGGATATGGATGAACTGTTGATGCCATTTGAACCGTGAATTGAACTAAGTGTTAATCCTTAAGTCTTGCGACTTTATATCGGATGTACTCTGTCTATGGTATCGAAATTTGTGCTGTTGACGACAGCATGGTAGTGCACCTAGAGGCTGATATACCTTACACAAGCAACATTTGGAACTGGCGAATTGTCGAGCAACAATAACAACAACAACAATGTAGGCGACAGAGTGATTTCTGCATTTTCTCTGTGCATCGAATGTACATTGCATAAGTCTAAAATTCCTACATCATCGTGTACTCCTGTCTCTTGTCATGTACAGGAGGCACACTACATCTTCATAGCTTGTGAAGCGAGTGTCCATGTATGTATATATGCATTTTTCTTTCGATATACACAGGTATTCCGAAGATCATATACGTACAGCCACAACTCACAATTATTATGTACACATCCTCCATCTCTTGTGTTAACATGATGGCACACCTGAAGCTCAAAACCGCATCCAGGTCCATATCTGTTTCCCTTGGTGCACTACTGGATGGTGATAACCACACGCTGTTGCTGCGGCGGAATTGGCACCGGCTGCGTGCTCCCTGCGGCTTCTGGTTCCGAAACCTGACCATGCATAGCCTGCATTGCGTTCCATTTCTACTTCAGCCAGAAACTTCATAAACATTTCAGTATTAGGATCTACTAGATGGTTTTACAAACCTGCCACTCGCTGCGTCGATAAAGCAGTTCGGTCACCGCGACCAAGATGATGTAGACCGGTATCACAATTCCAGCAGTTCTAAGCATCAGCAGCTGGTTCCACAAAACAAAATTTTGCACACATCAGGTTACATTTGCTGGGTTCCATATATATGCATCTGGTCTAGGGAAAACGTGTGGATTGTCTCCAAATTTCCCGGAGCCTCACTTACGGTGACCAGCGCGACGGTGTAGACGCCTTGTTCGACGAGGTAGACCGAGATGGCGTCATGGAGCACCAGGAGAAGCATCAGCTGAGGTTGCAAGAATGTTTCAGGCTGTTAATTTTTCATTGCAAACCGTCGAACGAAACAACGGATGTCTGTATGTTTCACCGGCACTTACAGTTATAGCAATTATGCGGCAACAGATTACAGCTTTTGGAGTGGAAGCTTGGCGATCATACTCGTAGCTTGTCGAGGTGGAAGAGCTCCGGGCCTGTGCTTGGATGTAGGCAGGGGTTCTGCTGATGAGAAGAGCATTAGAGGATCCATTTGTGAGATGTCATATGTTTGACAGGTGAAGCATTGGAAGATTGGTACCTGAAGAAGATGGAGTTTCTTCCCTGCTGAAACAGCTTTGAAGGAGCCTTGTAGTTTGGTGTGAATTGCTGTGTTACCAGTGGATGACATCAGTTATCCATATATTTACATGATTTGAGATAATAATATTCTCCATTAGTCAGCCATGCGCACAAGTTACCAGGGAAACCAAAATTTTACCTGCAAGCATATCTCACATATGGTGTCCCCCTTCTCGTCGCACCACCTCTGGACGCATGTCCGGTGAGCATACTGAAAGACACACCGATTCAATTCAGCCACTGCTTTCAGACAAGAGCAATGTACGTACGTACAGTATATGCCAAGACGTTTTTACCTTCAGGCTGCCCTTGCAGGAGCAAGGGGCCTCCATGCAGGACTCGTCGCCGTCCTCCTGGCAGATCCTGCACTCCACCAGCACGCCGCTCTTCGGCCTGCCGCCGCCACCGTGTTCGACGACGACGGCGTCCCCACCGCCCGCCGGCGTCGAAGACGAAGCCGCATTGGAGGCCTCGTCGATGGCGGACTGCACCGTGGACGCCGTGAGCAGCCGGCCCGCCATCACCGCGAAATGGTCCGTCATCGACCCCCGGCCTGGAAGGGTCACATATAGCTAGCGTACGTCGGCCGACGCAGCGCGCGTCCAAGGCAAGGTAACGTCGGAAGCGGGGGAATTGCCCGAGAAGCGTGGACGGCGATGCCAAGCAAGGTCAGGAGGGAAGGGAAGGGAATGGAAGGTTGAGGAGCTGAGGAGGCTTGCAGGCCGGGGCTTTGATCTGCCGGGTATCTGAAGAAGCGGCGAGGGAGAAGCAAGAGATGGAGTGGCCGCCGTCGCTGTTGCCGGGCTGGATTCTGAGACGAAGTAGTAGAACTATTGCAGTCTGTGAGAATACTTATAATGATGAAAAGGAAGCTAGTAGTAGCATCGATCATTGTCATATCATATCTTGCTGCAAACTGAGTTATTCCGCTTTCAACTGCCATATGGCGATCTTTCTTGCTTGCATTGGTTTGTGGGGTGTGCTTTAATCTTGGAGTGGGGGAGGGTGACAGGTGGAGCTGTTGGAGATTTAGTTTTGGATGAGGCGGCTTTCCATGACTTGGCTGTTGGGAACATCTGATGACCGAATCTCTCCTGCCTCCTTCATACACGTTTCTTTGTCTTGTTCCTATAATTATTAATGTGAAGAATCTCTCGGCGAAACGGCCGCTTGTATATTAAAAAACGTAAGCTGTCTCCCAATATTCAAGCTTTCGAGACCTCTCAGAGGATCCCCACCCGTCCCCCAAGTCCCTCTCCGAAGCGACACGGAGAACCCTAGCCCCCCCGCCACCGGCCCTCCTCCACCATTCCCTCCTCCTCGCCGCCGCCGAGGGCCACTACCGGGCAAAGCCCGGGTAGTGCCGGCGACGGCGGGGCTTCTCCCTGGCACGACTCTCTCTTCTTCCTCGCGGGCGGCGCAGACGTTCCTGGTGGGCTTGGTGGCGCGGTGCCTCGAAGCTCCGGCGGCAGCTCGCTCTGTGGTGTGGTGGAGGGCTTGTCCCCGTCCAGTGGTGCCGCCTCGACAGCTACTGTGGCATGGGGCTCTTGACCCCAGATTGGATCTGGGTGGCTCGGGCCGGGCCATGGTAGCCTGTCAGGCAAGGTGTCGTCGAGTCTCGCGGCCTCTAAGGTGCCGGCGGCGGTGTGTGCTCGGCCTGGTGGTGTTGGTGGTGGTGGCGGCCCGTGCACGAGAGTTGGATGTCTTCGAACAGATCTGGGTGAAAACTTGCTTTCGGTTACTACCAAGGCCGGCGGTGGCGGCGCTATATGTGTCGTTCCCTTCTTGAATGATGCCTTGGAGAAATTCAAGCCCACTCTCTGCTACCTCCGGGGGAAACCCTAAATCAGTAGACCGGATGACGGCGACGCTCTGGTGTCTTTTCTTCCTTGGGGGCGTCATTCTTGGAGGTACACACGGGCTCGAGGGACCAGAGGACGGCTTTTTTGGTGGAGCGGTGCTTCATCTTACACATTGATGGCGGCGGATCTCGGCTGCATGGCATTGTGGAGACTCAGCGTCCGATGCGCGGAGATGGATTCGCGCAGGAGGAGGATGTTGTCTGGCGTCATGGTGGCATCGATGGCAGAGAGGCTTGGCAAAGTCGGTGCATTAGTTTCTTTTCTAAAGAGGGATTGATGGAAGATGGCGGCGACGATACAAAGAGTGTGTCGGACCAGCTTGTGTCCCAAACCTAGTATGTGGCTTGGTTGGGGCCTCTGGCTTTAGATGTTAGGCATTTATGCGATGTCTGTTTGGTATTAGGTTCGGACTATCAGCAGCCCTTCATCAGATGGATAAGAGTAGCGACAGTTGTTGCTTAGATGGTGGCTTCAGACTACCTGATATACTACTTTGTAAAGTCTTTGTGAATAATTAATAAAATGGGTGCATGCGTCTTAATAAAATGGATGCATGCGTCGTTCCGATGCAGAGACCGAGAGTTATCCTCCTTTTCAAAAAAAAAATCCTGACATTTCCCATTCCTCCCAAAGTCTTATATTTTTCCTCACAGTCCTATACCCCTGAACACATTTCCTCTATTCAGTCGCAACCTGCAGCTGGGGGCTCTCTAAACACAGAGAACTATCTAGAGGATGCCAAACCGGAGATGAAAACCGTGAGAATAGCACGTACGTGAGTAGCACAAACGATGCATGACATGCATTGAGCGTGTTATAGTTTGGTCGTTTGATAATATGCTTCCGTTACACAACATTTTTGAAGACTACATATGAACAAAATGAGAGTGTTTGTCATGCGAAACATGTATACCTTTTAGTAGTATTCCATTATAGATAGATGATTTTTCTTCCTCCAGAAATTTTATAGCTGATGTTTCAGCTATTAACAAAGGAATGATTTGTAATTGCACAAGGCGACGTAAAGTCCGGAAAAGCTATGTCTCGCATACTGCGAGACAGAAGAAGCGTCCGCCTTCAGCCTCCGGCGAAGTAGGTCGGCCCAACAACGTTTTCCAGTGGTTTGGGGGACCTACCACGGACCAGTTTGGGGAACTTTCCAGCAAGCGGTTTTAGGAACCTTTCCCCTGGTTTGAGGGAGGCTCATTCGATTTTTCTTTAGATATATTTTTCTACTTTTTATATTGGTTTTATTTACAGTTTTTATTTCTATACTTTTTGTTTTTTCATGTTCGTTTTTATGTTTCCTCTTTTTCTTCATGTTCTTGTTTCTTCTTCATTTTTTCAAATGTCTTCCTTAAAAAAGAATGGATATTATTTCACATCTCGCGAAATATTTTCATAAAAATTGTATCTTTTTTTACATTTTTCTGATCATTTTTAGAACATTTGAACATCTTTCACTGGTTATAGATTTTTTTACATGTCAAGCACATTTTTGTAAAACATTGTGACACCAAATGTTTACATTTTCGTGAAAAATATTTGAACATGTGAAAATTTCTTTTAAATGGTTACAAATCATTGAAAATTACAAAAATTGCACAATTATTTAAAAAAGATGCACAAGGTTTTATAGGGTTTTTAAGGCCTTCAAGGTTTTATAGGTGTGTGCAAAATTTCGGGGCAATTTGCCATTGGAGAAGCTCTGAAAAAAATGTTTTGAGAAAGTTTCCAATTTTTATGATTTTGGAGCAATTATTTTGTTTTTTCTGTCCCTAGCTCCTCCAATGTCAAATTGCCATGAGATTTTGCACGCCCTTATAAATTGGTTCATCGTTTATGTGCAAAAGAATTATATTTTATATACTTTTGCCAGTATTTTCGAGTTTACTGTTCCACAGGGGAGCATATGTGCTCGTGATCAACTATGAATTACTATCATCGCAAAAAAAAAAAAAAAAAAACTATGCTAGCTAGCGAGGGCTACACAGGTTTGTACACATCTTGCTAGTCGGGCCTGGCCTTATTAACCTGGAATTGTAGCCAACACATCCATCGATCCTGCTACAAGAGAGACATAGACGTGTCGGGACTCGGGAGCGTCTATAACTCGCTCTTCCCGATATGGCACTAGCATTTGCTGACGTCGTGCATGGCGTCGCTCACCTATTGGGTTGGTCCACTCATACTCATCTTTAGCTAGCGACACTAATAACTACTAGCCGTAAGTCCTATTCGGCGCTTATAGCGCCAACTACAGTGCATTTGGTATACACCGCCCATACCCCTCGGGTCCACTTTTGTAGTGGGTCGGCCCATATAGTGTTTTATTTTGCTTAGAGCAACTCTAGCAGACTCCGCATCCCGCCGGTCTGCTCTTTTTTACGGGTCGGCTTTGCGGGGTCTGCTCTTTGCGCCTCTGCATCCGCATATCATCAGCCCGCAAATATTAAATACAACATAATTCAACAATCGAAAACAAGCTGAATTATTCAAATCAAACATAATACAATAATCATCCGCATTACAAATAATTATTCAAATAACCGTAGCAAACTTAAATAGTGCAATACAAAACTTGTCATGAATACAAATACAAATGAATACAAAACTTGTCTGCATTTTCAATCTCCTTGTATGTCTGAAGAAAAGCTCTAATGCAGTTTGGGTCTCTAGCTGGTTTGACACGGCTACCCACATTATCGTAAAAGAATTCTAAGTTCAATCCTCTCTCATCTTCAAGAATCATATTGTGCAGGATAACACAACATGTCATGATGTTCTTCAAGGTTTTCTTATCCCAAAAACGAGCAGGACCACGGACAATGGCAAACCTAGATTGCAGGACACTGAATGCTCTTTCAATGTCTTTTCGGGCTGCCTCTTGCACCCTTGCAAATTCACATTGTTTTTTTGTTTTGGATTCTTTGATGCTCTTGACAAATGTGCATCAAGGAGTGAAGGAAATATGCCCTAGAGGCAATAATAAAGTTATTATTTATTTCCTCATATCATGATAAATGTTTATTATTCATGCTAGAATTGTATTAACCGGAAACATAACACATGTGTGAATACATAGACAAACATAGTGTCACTAGTATGCCTCTACTTGACTAGCTCATTGATCAAAGATGGTTGAGTTTCCTAACCATAGATATGAGTTATCATTTGATCAATGGGATCACATCATTAGAAGAATGATGTGATTGACTTGACCCATTTCGTTAGCTCAGCACTTGATCGTTTAGTATGTTGCTATTGCTTTCTTCATGACTTATACATGTTCCTATGACTATGAGATTATGTAACTCCCGATTACCGGAGGAACACTTTGTGTGCTACCAAACGTCACAACGTAACTGGGTGATTATAAAGGTGCTCTACAGGTGTCTCCGAAGGTACTTGTTGAGTTGACGTATTTCGAGCTTACGAATTGTCACTCTGATTGTCAGAGAGGTATCTCTGGGCCCTCTCGGTAATGCACATCACTATAAGCCTTGCAAGCAATGTGACTAATGAGTTAGTTGCGGGATGATGCATTACATAACGAGTAAAAAGACTTGCCGGTAACGAGATTGAACTAGGTATTGAGATACCGACGATCGAATCTCGGACAAGTAACATACCGATGACAAAGGGAACACCGTTTATAGTTATGCGGTTTGACCGATAAA